GCAGAGGGCGGGTACAATAGCTAGTTTGCTTTAGGTCTTAGTGAATAGACCCCTATGTCCTGCAGTGATGTAGGGGTCTGCAGGAGAAACCAGACGACCAACAGGAGAGTTCTGTATTCCACACAAGAGGTGTCATACATTATCAGCGCACAGAGCTGTGAGACAGAGCAAAGTTTAATCAAACCGATCGCCAGAGAGGCAAGTTAAATCCTGCTTCTTTTAGAGACTTATGCTGCTCCAATTGGATAGGGTCACTTTATTGGGAGTTTGCTTTTAAAAACCACATTTGTAATCTGGTTCTCAGAACATTGGATTTCAAACTTTGCATGGTGGTTGCTGAGTTTATAAGCAGTAACATTCACACTTCTTCAAATCTCTCCTCTTCTGCATATTAAACACATTCTAATGCAGTCAAATAGCAGCACGCACTACATTTGTTAATGCTACACTGGCCTGTGTAATGCATTATCTCTACCGAGATACCTACTTACAGCACATTGGTAATCAACGCTATAGCAGGGGTAATGAATTAAAATTCTCAGGTGAGTAAAATTTTAATTGGGCAGAGATCTGAATCGCAGTCCACGTCCGTACCGCAGTCCACCATTTAGGCTGCATTCACACCAGCAGCTGCACTACAAATCACAGCTGCTGGTGTGTCTTCCCAGACACAGTGCTGATGTGCCCATCCAGTGCACCATACTGTTGGGGTTTTTTTAATGTACACATACACATGCCTATGCGCACATGTTCATTCAAATCAGATGACTGGGGTGGCAGGGTTGGATTAATTTTATTTTTTTATTTATTTTTTTACTTTTTTTCACCTTTTTTATTTTTATGTCTTTTATTATTTTTTTCACTTAACTTTTGCTATCACAAAGGGACTAACAACTCCCTATGTGACAGCATTTGAAGGTAACAGGTTCTCTTTATGGAGACATCAAGGGTCTTTAGACCCCTGATGTCTCTCCTGCCCTCCAAAATAGATGATCAAGCACAGGATTGTGCTTCAGTTCTGAATCAGGAAGCAGTGAGAGCACAGCGCTCCCTGCTTCATTGATCACAGAGCAGATCGGGGAATGGATGTTCCTCGGTTTGCTCCCGCACTTCATCCTGACCTGTTGCCATGGTCCCGTACCCCCAGAGGAGCAGGGAACCTGAAAACCATGGTGTGGGGGCAGGGACGGATTTCCCAAGGGTTCAACCGAGGCCCGGCCTCGGAGCTGCTTGGAGCGGAGGCGTGGCAGGGATTCCTATTGTCCGATGCCCGGGACATGAAGTTCCGGGCATTGGGTGGGTAGTTGTTTTTTACATTTAGCTCTCCATTGGGCAAGCAGGGCTAAATGTACGGCAGGGAAGCCACTCGTTCGTTTACAAGTGATCTCAGCGATGTCTTGTTGACTTGTTTGCAGCCTGCTTGTTCGTCTTCCCCCGTCGCCCACCCCCCCTTCCGCCGGCTACCTTTCTCTCCTCTCTTCAGGATGAAGAACAGGGAGCAGAGCCTTCCCATCTCAGATGTCACAGGAGTTCCAGCACAGTACTGTGCTAGAACTCCTGTATTGGAGGTGACAGGGTCAATAAAGCGAACCTGTCACCTCCAAATGCAATCACCCAGGGGCTTGTCGGCTCCTGTGTGATAGCAATAAAGTTAAATTTAAAAAATTGATTAAAAAATTATACAAGAAACAACAATTAAGAAAAAAATAAGTAAAAAATAAAAATATTATAAAAAAGTAGATAAAAAACAATAGGCTAAAAAAATAATAAAAAATAAAAAGTAAAAAAAAAGATCAAACAATTATAAAAAAATAAAAAAGTAAAAAAAGTAAAAAATAACAAGATAAATACAAATTGAAAAAAGTAAAAAAATTAATAAAAATTAAAAACCTAAAAAAGTGATAAAGTAGAAAAAAAATAAAGAAAAAAATTAAAATTAACCCTGCCGGGATGTTAGGGAGGGGGTCGTATAGAGGAACCTGGCCTTGGGGTAGCAGAGAGAGTAAATCCGGCCCTGTGTGGGGGTGAGGGCGCGGCACAGTTGCAGTCTAGCATAAGTGAATAAGTGATCTGGGTGACTGTAAATGCAGCTTACCAATCCTTAAATATAGTAGCTGTCTTCATTTCCTTTTTTAGTTTATTTCTCCTTTATTTTCACCTGGTTATCCAGCCAGTAAGTCTGTTATTTTTCAACTTCCTTTAACAGGTCAAGCTGTGACCTGTTAATGAACTGTCCGGGTGAATCCTGGACAGGTGGCAACCCTAGTGGGCGCCCCTGTCCTAGATTGTTCACTTCTCCTGCCTTCTCCAAACTCTTCACCCTTTTGTGAATAACCCTGAAAATTGTGTGAATGTTCGGTTCAGTTATCTAACCATATTCAGATGAAATAAGTAAACAGGAAGTCACTTCTTACATAATTGAACAATTGAAGTGAATAAGGACACTTTTTATTGTGCGAGGACCCTGTAGCCCTTTAGTAAATCTGCCTCACTGACTAATAACTAAACGGTTATTAACCACTTAACAAATTCCTGGAACTAACTACCCACCAAGGATTTGGCTGCTACAACATGTTAGATATATGTAATATATATATAAGGGTAAGCACAAATATATTTAAGCATGCATTATTCAGGCAGACACACAGACGGGATGAACTGCATAATGCATATGTTTGATTTTATGTACTATGTTAATTTTTATAGCAGTGTCCCTTTACTTAAATATTTAATGGTATTGAACATTTAACCAGAACATATAAAAACCGTTTAATGTGTTCTGTCTGGTTATGAACTAGTTAATCACCAACGCAGTCTTGCCTTTCCCTGAGACATTATAAAACAGTCAATCACGCACACCATCCGGGGCATGTTCCAGTAAATCATAAAGTGGCCTTTCCGAGTGGTTTCCCAAGTTGCATGTGATAAATAGAGTGCCCATTACCAAGACCATGAGCAAAAGGAAATCTCTCTGCAGGTTAATAGAGAGCGACGGCTCCACTTGTCAAGCATACTTTTGTATGAGCTAGACCAAAATAATAACAATTTTACTGCCCGTGAATATGTCACAGAGGAAGGTTTATGGAAAACATTGTTTTTTGGTTTCTGATTGGCCCCGTTTTTAATCTTTTCTAGAGCGCATCCACTTAAAAAGGTAAATGCACTGGAAACTGGCATTCCAATTATCGATGGATGATGGTGATATGAATTACTCGCCATCTTCTTTTTTTGTCTCCAGGAAGCCAGGAGCTTAGGAGGACCTAGGAAGAAAAACTAAAAAAACGTAAAAACTGAAAAGGAAATCGGTTCATTACTTTAAGTTGAAAAAGTGTATTTTAACTATTGCATGTCACAGATAGTAACCACAGGAAGTCATGTCTTTA